TCTATCAGTAAAATTTAAAGGATGAAAGCAACTCTGAAAAACATTCTTGTAGGAAATATTTCTTTAGCAACCAAGAAAATGACGGATTTTGTGGGTTCCTTAAAGATGACGTGGATCAGTATCAACTTTATTTTTTTTTTTTTTTTTTTTTTTAAAGCTGCTTACAACTTTATTTTATATATATATATATATATATATATATATATATATATATATATATATATTCTGTCATTAATTTGTTGGGGCAAGTTTGTATATGTTGAGTTTATGTATCACAAGAAATCAATTTTTTTTAAATATATGTAAATATGAAAGCCATGTTTTATTTTGCAGACAACTTGACCATAACAACATTTCTACCATTTCCAAAGGATGGTTGTATGGTTTGGAAAATTTAGGACAATTGTAAGTATTATGGTTATTTCTTTTGTAGACTTTTTTTATTTTCCCTAACATTCTATTAAATTTTTTTTTTTTTTTTTTTTAAATGTCAATATAAAAGAAAATGTATAATTTCTTCATCACCAAACCTTTCCCAAAATAAGGTTTCAACAATTCAGCAATTTGTTTGGATTTTTTCCATCGTCTTTTTTAATCACATTTACAGACCTGCCAAGTTTACAAATTTCTTGGTGTGAGAGATTCCTTGTTTGTGGCACCATTCAGCTCTGCCATGGTTGTTGATGAGGAGAAAATTTTTTGTTTTAATCCTCTCAGATGGCCTTTCACATAATTATTTTATTTATTATATAATCATCCTGGGTAAGACGATAAACAGAAAAAGAATCTGTGTGATGGTGGGGTGGGGGTGATGATAACAAGGACTAAAATGCCACTAAATACTGGCCACTTGGTTGTGACTGCATATCACTTGATATTGTTTTTGTTTTGTTTAATAGCATATCAACTCCGTATGGCTCATTTCATGCTAATATTTAATTTTCTTGGGAGTTTTGAAGTAATAAGAATGTCCTTCTGCTTTCACAAGTGAATAAATGGTAGATGATACTCAGCTTTTGTGCATATACAAGTTTGTGTGGACATAATTAGAGGTGGTGATATGTGTGTTTTATGTTGTAGTTAAAGTTATATTTTGGAATACAGTTTGATTTTTAAGAAATTGTAGGATATTTAGATTAATGTCATGAAAGAGTTCTTTCATGATTGTTGATTTTTAGCAGTATAACAACCACTATGGGTTGTTTAATGCTGAAATCTAAGCATTTTGAACGCAATTATATGCTTTCAATTACAGATAAAATGTATTGTTGTTCATTTTACAATAAATAGGTATTGTTGGTAACTTTTTCTTATATAAAAATGTATTTCTGGTATTTTTACTATAAAAATGTATTTTTATACTTTCATAGTGTTTTACTTTTGTTTGGAGGTTCACTATTTGCCCATAGCTGGGACCCTAGCAGATGCTACCACGCCGGGTCGGGGTGGATCTGGGAACAGCAATTAACAGGGGGTTTCACACACTTCAGACCTTCAATCTTCCGATATCAGATGCTTTATGTTTGAGAGATATACACTTAAATATCCAGTTTTAAAAAAAACTCATGTGATGTATACCAAAACCTTTGCTATTTTCTGATTAATTCAAAATGCCCACAAGTTCCTATCTCGTTACTAATATTCACTAGTTATGTTTTGGAAACAAAATTATTTCAGGATAACATTGCTCGTAAAAATTGACATTTACATTAATTATTTAATGTTACTAAGAATTTACATTAATCTTTGCAATTATTTTTTTTTTTTTTTGTTTTGTTTTTGCTTTCAAAAACAATTTATCAGATTGTTATTTATTTTTTTAAAGAGCTTCACACACACACACACACACACATATATTATAGTTTTTTTGTTTTTTTTTAGTCAATTTTACAGGGAATTACTGTACCCCTAATTGTTGCAGCAAGCAAATTAACTCACTAATTAAGAATAAATAGCATTTACCTGTTAACCGGCATAATTGTCTAAATTGCTTAATTAGTGAAAATTACAGTGATCTTGAGTCAAATCTGTTTTATTTTTAACTGGCACATGCAATCATGTACATCTATGCAATTTTGTTCTAGTTTTGATTGTGGAAGGAACACTGAAGAATTTAAGCACATATTTTGCTGCACGTTTTTATTTGTCCTACATCTACACCAGTGGTTCTCAACCGGGGTCTACATGGACCCTAGGGGTCCATGTAATATTTCCGGGGGTCCACAGGCAAAACTCAATTGTTGTGTTAATTAAAAATAGTAATAATAATTATTATTATAATTATAGTAGAATATTTTATTTGTATTAAATTAGTTTTCATTTAAAAATAAAGCTTAATCGTATACTATTTCTTTGATAATTAAAACCTTAAAATTTATATTAGTGAAGAATAGAAAATTGTTCTTATGTCCAATAGCTATGAAGGGGTCCACCAAGATAAAAAGAAGGGGAAAGGGGTCCATGGGTAAAAAAAGGTTGAGATCCACTGATCTACACAATCAGTCTATCCACTGAAATGGCTCTTCATTCATTCATGATTGGTTACTAAATGGCTGGTGATTATCTTCAAATGAAATTGCATGACAGCTGTTCATACGGAACTACTGTCGGCTGCTTTCTCATCAATATTTGCTCTCCAACAATCTGCATTTAACACTTCATCACAACGTACCTCCAAGAGGATGCATGGGAGAGTGGCACAGAACGAGAAATCCAAGAGCTGAGTTCAAATTCCAGTCAGGTACACTTGAGGAAGATATACTACATCCATCTCCCCCAGCTATGGGTAAAATAGGACTTGTATCTCAAAAGGAATTTTTAATGCAATATTCACTCACCAAAAAAAAAAAGATTCTTACAATTCAAAATGTTTTGTCTTTTAATAACCCACAAAGGGTTGATAAGCTGTTAAAAAAAATAAAATTTTAAAAAATCAACCCCTCCAAGATGTAGATGATCATGGCTCTCTACAGCTTCCCCCTTTTTTTTTTTTTTTGGAAAGGTTGTGTATTCCTATTAACTTCTCCATAATTTAGAATTCATTTCATTCTTTCTAGACTGGTCACCTAACCAAGATTTAGAATTTTATGTATAGCTGATGAGGAAAAGAGATGAATTCTTGCCTTTCTCAAGGGCATTAGTACAATGAGCCTGATGGAATTCTACCAGAATCTGAAATAGTTGTACAGATTCCATTCCTCATACCATTATCTGTTGCATCACCTTCACCTCTGCAGACTAACCCCTCTCAATAAAAGCTGAATCTTATCTCTTTATCTTGAACAGGTCTTTGACGCACAATAATATCAAATCAATTGAACTCGACAATTGGGAATTCTGCAGTAAACTCTGGGAACTGTAAGTACATTTGTTTTGTTTTCATTTGCATCCTAATTGTTGATTTTGTTTCATGTCTGCCTCTATGTATGTATGTATTTGCAAAGATTTGTCGCACTATGCCATGAAAATAAAATCAGCATTTAAAATTTCTATTTAAATACAGGCACCGACCACAGATTGTATCAGTAAGAAACAAATAGGCAACCTCTTCTATCGGCTTCCAACAGCCTTCTCATGTATAGGGTCACTGAGACTAGGTAAAGAAATCTAATGTCAGGAAAGTGATTTTAGTGTTCCCTGCATGGAGAATCTTTTTTTTTTTCCTTTTTTATGTGATATGTCCTTCTGGGACCTGGACGATCGTGGCTCTCCACCACTTCCAATCCCTTGTGGCCCTCTATCTTGTCAGGAACATGGCCCACTGCCTTCCCCTTTATCTCTTGCCCTCAATATGCCTTAGAATCTGTAGCCCCCAATTCCTGCCCAAAGAAGAGACATCCAGTGTGTGTGTGTGTGTGTGTGTGTGTGTGTGTGTATATATATATATATATATATGTATATATATATGTGTGTGTGTGTTTCTAATCTTGTCAGAGCTCTTTTTCTTTTCTTTTTTTCTTTTCTTTTTTTTTTTTTTTTTTTTTTCTTCTCCCCTTTCCTATTTTGTCAGAGCTTTTATTTTCTCTTTCCTTCATTTTCTTTTTCTTGTTCCAAATCCTGAAGCTGATGAGGGAAGTAATGGATGCCTTTTCATCCATTCATTGTCTGTCAGTCAGTTTCTGGGTAGAACTGAAGATGGTTTGGCATGTGGGATGAAGTGAGACACACCTCCTGGCCCCAGATGTTTATTTATGCTGCTCAAAAGAGAAGGGCGAAACTGTCCATCAACTGTGTGTATACATACATACATACAGAGCACAAATGTGACCATATGTTGGCCATCTAGGGCAAGCTGAACTTTATTTACTGATGATGATGGCAATTTGACATTCTGTTTATAATTACTTGTTTAAAACTTCTTACTTTCTACACACACCCCCACCATTTCAACAGCTGCAAAACATTTTTTTTTCTTCAAGTATTAACAACTGTCTTATCCTCAACTATTTTACATCCTAATTTTCTTAACACTTAAAAAAAAAGTTGTATTTGGTGAAAAAATGATTAAGTATTGTAAGCATTTGATATGCAGACAAGTTGTGATTTTGCTTTTAATTCATATTGTGGTATCCATTTCCTTTCCCTGCTCCAAGGATATGCCCTTGGGAAAGTTATTAATCCACCCCCCCCATCCCTACACAACAATGGGTTAAATAGTAAGACTTGTATCATTGTTACCTTTCAAAAATTGTTAATGCAATATTCACTGGCAAAAAAGAAAATTATTCTTACAATTTCCCTCAAAAATGTTTCAGCTTTAAATAACTCCTAAAGGGTTGATAAGCTGTAAAAAAAAAAAAAAAAAATCCCCTGGTCTAAATTGAAGAGATAATACAGTTTTGTAATTGTTTAATTTCTCTTATTGCATTATATATATATATATATATATATATATATCTATATATATAATGCAATGTTTCTTCAAGTCATAAGTAAGCTTGATTCTCTAGATTCTTTTTCCTTGCTTGCAACTTGCCATGCATTATTAGGAATGATAGTGAAGTGGTTTAGAATTCAGAAACTTGCTTTCACCCAAGGCTAGAATGCTCAGTCTACCCTTCTGTTTAACCAACAACTGGAGAGGAAAGGGGACAGTTTTATGGCTTTCATGTGAAATCGGCTAGTCCATAATTTGAGCTAGACTCCCCAATTCCACTTTCCATGCCAATATCCTTTATGCTACCCACGCATCCCCCCCACTTGGATTTAAATTAGTTCAATGCTGTTTGAAGTATTATTGTTGCTATTGTATCAAAGATTTCATCCCAGTCTTGTAGCATATTAAATCATTTTGTTTACTCACCATCCCACTCAACATTGTCTAGACCTCCTTGTAAAACTCCATTTATGAATTGTGCATTGCTTTCAAATATACAATGCCATTCTCCTCTCGTATAAAAACTCATTTTTTTTTTATGTCTATTATAATGTTGACCTTGGAGTCTGCGTATGACACCCTCTTCCAAATTGCCCTAAGCCAGCACAGTAAAGTAGACTAGTGAAACTGGTATGAGAATATCAGACCAAAGATTTCTGGACCATCAGAGATCATCCCTGGACCCATGCAATCAGGAGAGCAGGTCAGCTGCCCAGATCACTCCAGCCGTCTCTGACTAGTTTGACCACGCTGATCAAGGGATCACTACAGCTGTCTCTGACCAGTGTGGCCATGCTGATCAATCCAGTAATTTTGGACTGTTTAGAGAGAAGTATTGCATGCTAAAGCACAATCTGCTGTAGGCAAAAATAGCAAAGATGATGTTCCTTTGTTTAAACAGCAACATCGCTCAAAAGTCATGTTCATCATATACTTGCTATTATAAGATACTAGCAGTAGAGCCAGGCATTGCCTGGGGATGTAACAGTAAGAGATAGATCAAGTATCGACCATCATAAAGACTAAAAAATAAAAATTGACAAAGATTATTGTTTAAGGTTGACGGACACGCATGTCTTAATTAGTTGTTTTTTTTTTGTTTTTTTTACGAATTGGTCAAACCCAAACTCAAACAAAAACATTGTTTTCAATCGTTATGAGTCTACTGATTGAATAGAATTTTATTATAAACAATTGTCTTGTAAATGGAATTTTTAAAGCATTCTGAATGTAAAAATAAAAAAAAAAAAGTGTGCAAGACAATAAGAAACACTACCTGCCAAAAAAAAGTGAAGTTTTATTGAAATGGGTTTGAAAAATGTAGGAAATCCGATCCCATATATAACGAACACACACAAACAACCAACCAACCTGGGTTTTTATAATAAGTATAACTTGATATTAATAAGTTTAACTCGATATGAGTTGGCACCCTTTCATTAATGCCTCTTAATCGTGTTTTTCAAATTGATTTCGTGCAAAAACAATTGTTTTTCAATTTTGGCACTCAGAACCACATAAAGGTAATTTTACGTAGTCCTGTGAAGTTTTGTTGAAATCGGTTGAAAATGTAGGAAATCCGATCCAATATATAAACGTACAGACACACACACACACACACAATCTGCGTTTTATAATAAGTAAGATTCAGCAATGTTTAAACTTCATGCCCCTGTAAAAAAAAAAAAAAAAAATCTTTCAAAAGTAGTTTTTCTGTTGATGCCATTGTTGCTATATTCTACCAAAACTTCCTCAGCAGTGTTTAATTATAAGATTATAAAAATATATGAATCACAGTGCAATATTTATTATTTACCATTTTATAAAGATTTATTATAGATTGCTAAATGATAAACATTGCATTATATTTGTTGATTTGCATTTTTAGAATGTTGTAAATAGAAAAGTTATTTTTGTAAATAATGTAATAGTGTTTAATAATTTTTGTTGTAAAATTTTAAGAACAAAGAAAATTTTTTATATATATATATATACACACACAAGAATTTTATTAAGGTTCTAATCCTTACTATTTAAAAAAAAAATTGTTGCCGAGGGAGTGTACAATAATAGCAGTGTCAAGGGTAAAAACCATCCTTTTCATAGTTTTTTTTTTTTTTTGCAGGTATGGAATTTAAATTTTGCCAGATATTCTATGTAACTCGTATAGGTGTCTGTCTACCAGGAATTTTTTTTTTTCTCCTTATCTCCTTACATTTTAATTACACTCTTAATTCATCTACACCATTGTTATTGTAATTTAATGTTGTCTGTAGCAAGAAATATCTAATACTGTGCAACCCTTATAAATATCAGTTTACCAGAAAATTAATTTTCACCAAGTTTTAAGGTATACAATTTGTTGGTTCTTCAAGTGTACATTCTATATCTTGACATTTTTATATATATTTTAAATTTCTCTCTTATTTTTTCAAGTGGCTACTCCCTGTTAAGTGTTGTGGGGTAGGGAGTGGAGAATAGGGTTACAGACAAGTGAACCATCATTTCTTTTGCAAGTATGACTCTGCCTTAAAATTGATGTTCATATCAGACATGTCTGCTCGTTACATTTACCTGCAAAATAAATTAATACTAATTAGTGCAGCCTTCTATTTATTTTATTTTTTTGCTTTCACTCTAATTGATAATATAAAAAAGAGAAGGAAAAAAAACTAGAAAGAGAGCTACATGTGTTTTGGGGATCTTAAGATGAGTCCTCAGACTAATGACTCTTGCGGAACTTGTTTTATACACCAAATGTACCCAAATTCCCCAATAGCCTGACTTATTTCTGTAAACTTTCAGTCTCATCCCCACTCCTTTCTGCCCTTCAATGCTCTACTCAGAAAGCTTTTTGCCAGGAAGATTCCACCACACTAATCATGGGAAAATCTCTGGGGCTGTTAAACATATAGTCACCATTAGCCAAAGCTTACAATGTATTTATCTTTTGTGAGTTAGGTCAAGAAGTATCATCATCATCATCATTCTAAGAATCCAGCTAATTTGGTGGAACAATAGAACCAGATTATTTTATTAAAAACTGAGAATTTGCTTAAAAAATGCTTCTTTAGCACACAAAAATTTTTTTTTTTTTTTTTTTTTAATGTAAATATATTCATTATTTAAGTTCTTAAAATATCAAAGTTAACCTAATTTTCTGATAATTGCATAATATACCATTTTCTAAAATTGTACAGATTGCACATATTCTTATTGTTAATTCAGTTTAAGTATTCAAATCTAGTAAAATAAACTTTTAAACTTTTCGTCAATATTCTTTAATATCTAAACACACTGATTGGCACCAATTGGAAAGTTTTTTTTTTTTTTTGCGGGGTTGCCTTGTCAGTCTTAATATTCACTCTAGTCACTGTGTTATGGATGTTGCTACAAGCCACATTTTATTAATGGACACTAAAGACAGCAGAAATCCTGCTTTTGCTATATTTCTTTCTTTCTTATTCACCGTGTAATGTGTGTGTTTTAAATTGTGTGATTTAAAAAAATATATATTTAAATGGTTTCTTCCCTCCATTATGAGAAAATTGCCTAAATTTCTTTACAGAGTATTTAAAAATCGGCTTTTGTTGACAATTGTTATAAAGGTCAATCAATTCCTACTCTCTTTATTTAATAAAAGAAATGACAAGAGGAAAACTTTTTATGCCCACATGTTTCATTCCTTTAGGAATTTTATCAAGACAAATTTAGAAATTATATTTATCCACACAGAAACAGTTCCCAAATGAAACTTCAACATTCATCTTGATAAGGTTTCTCAAGGAACAATATGTGCCACCATCAAAGGTTTTCCTTTTGCCATTTCTTTTATTGGTATCGTTTTTGCAGATACATTTATATTTGAATTTTTATACACACACATCAGTATCTTTACCCATGAAGGAAAAGGTTAAAAAATAATCCTTTTATCTTTGCTTTTGTTTTAGGGATTTGAGTTACAATCAACTGACAACAATCTCGGCTCACTCCTTTGCTCGTTTGAATTCTCTTCAATGCCTTTATTTGGATCACAACCACATTGCCCACATTGATTCAAAAGCCTTCAAAGATCTTTCATCCCTGGAAACTCTGTAAGTACATTTCACAGTCATTATAATTCCATTCTGCCCAAAAAAAGTTACATAAGATCATGCAATACATTTAAAAGAAAGTGGTAAAAAATTTGGGATAGGTTTCTAAACTACAAACTGTATAAACATTAATTGACAGTCAGTCAGACTAGACAATAAACAACCATTACCTGATCAAAGACAGGACCTATTGCTAAGCAGAGTCCGAACTGGACATACACAACTTATCACACACATACTGACTCAAAGCAGTTGATAGTCAAAGTGAACAATAAAGAACCATTAACTGATCAAAGCCGGGACCTAGTACTAAGCAGACTAAACTGGACATACACATACTTATATGGGCAACCTGTAATTGTTTAAAGTTTAAACATGCTGAAAGCACTGGTTTTTGTTTAACATTGTTTCCTTTGTGACTGCTTCTTTCTCTCTTTTTTTTTTTTTTTTTTTTTTTTTTTTTGAGGGTGCAAAAACCTGAACACCTACTGGTTTAAAATTGTTATAACTTTCTTTGTATTGTTTATATAGATTTTAATTTTTGTACGCTAATAAAAGAATGAATGTGAATGAATAATATTTTGATGCAATGCATTACATTTTGCATGCATGTTTTGATGTTGAAAACAAAAAAATGAAACATCAAATAAAAAACACTAAATGAAAAACAAATACATTAAAAAATACATAAATAATTCAAATACTTTAACTTTTATTACTTGGGTGTAATAAGAAGCAAAATCACTAAGAATGCTTTCATTTTATCAAAAAAGTGATGTTTCCTTGTTTATATACGAGAAGACACTAGCATTTGTTTGCTTTCTTTCACTGACTCATATTTATTTGTCTCATTGATGAATAAAGTTATTTCATCATTTATAAATAGACAAAATAATTCACCTTCAGAAAGACCATCAGGTGTATCAAGTAGGTTCCATAAAATTAGTCAAGTATGGATGACATTAGCCACTAGTGGTCATCATCGCTTTCCTGTCACTAGTGTGGTTATCATTTTTTACTACATCATCGTCAATATCCACTCAAGTAAAGCCTTCAAGATCATCATTGGAGTCATAATCAAAGAAAAACTCCTGAATAAAGGCTTTGTTGGATATTGATGTGACCATTTTTGTTTACAAAATATCACAAAAAAAAATTAACGTGGGATTAATCCGTGTTGCACCTTACATAGTCTAGAAGAATTCAAAATGGTATTGGAAAACAGAAGTTTAACCTTGTTCTAAGCTGTAGTAGGTGATTTCCAGCTTAAAATACTGGAAATGACAGTTGACAAGTGGTTATTTTTAGCAACCATGCCTATAACAGCAAAGCAAGCGAATTCTATGGCAAGAATTTTCGCCTGCAGCGTGCTAAAGATTAATTACTGAAGTTAAGCACTATCTTGGTTAGTTAGATGGGGGACCATCTGACAAGTATTAAAGGAGTAAATCCAATCACAGATCCCACCTTTTGAAATGTGGAAGAGGTAGTAAAATATGGTGGTGCATATGATAACAAATTGTTGCTATGGATCATGCCTTACATTGTCAAACAGGCACCCACATGGATGCTTCCCTGAATATGACAATCTTAGCCTCTTCAAGTTTACAGTCAGTCGCTATTCATTCGCCATATTCTTGTAATCTTCAATCTCTACTTCTTCCTCTTACATTCATATCACATGCCACGTTCAGTAACTCTTTAATTTGAGTGGCTCTTGGGCCTTATATTAAGGGAACATTTAAGTTAAAAAAAAAAAAAAAAAAAAAATTCCTGTCCATAGAGGAATGTTGCTGCCAATGGTTAGGTCTGGTCTCTAAAAACAAGATGCTGCAACCTTTAGTAAGAGTTGCAATCACTAATTGTATCAAGCTGACTTGAATAACAACTGAAAACCATTGATTACTTGATCTAATAACCGTTTTTTTTTGTTTTTTTTTTTGTAATTTCTAACTTTTTGTTGTACTTTGCTGCTAGGTGGCAGTGTCTTTATGACAAAGATAATATTTACGACAATTTCAATTATCCAGGCACCTTGTAACCAGGGTTGAAAAAACATTTGATAATGAAAAAAAAGATTTCGAATACCTAAATTATTGAAAAAGAATAAAAGAAAAATAATTTTATGAAAGAAATTAAGCATTTATATTCTCTAAAAACATTTTAAGATGCTTTATTCTAGGTTTTGTCCAGTTTAGTTTTGATGAAAAAGATTTTTGTTAGTTTCCATCTGACTTCATGTTTCTCATTTTTGGGGGGTTTTTTTGGGGGTTTTTTTTCTGCCATTGACTTTCAAATCTGGATTAAAGCTGGTATAAGTCAAATTCTTTACATACAAACAACAAGGAAATTAACATTTGAATTATTTGAACTGATTTTATCAAATGTTGAAGGTTTTCTAAGTTCTCAAAACACTTGTCTGAGTTGAAATGTCAGAATGGCTTTAGTTCAGATGATTGAAAGATGTTTTTCATTTGTTCTCATTTCACGTTCAAATGATTGGTGTCTGGATGATCAAAAAAGTACTGTAATATAATGAATTTGATAAAATATGTATTATTTTTGATAGAATAGTTAAATTAGATAATTAAATTCTTTATAAAACTTTTATATGATCTTTCTTCTGGTTACATCTTATCCATATTGTCTTTAGAAGTTTGACTGCCATCTTAATATCTTGATTCTCCACCTATAAATTCATAACTATTTTCCAATATTACAATTTAAAGCCCATCAAATGGTTATTGTGTATTCTCAGACTTTAATCTATTAGCCAAACTTTTTCTTTGACTGCCACAAGGCAGCAAGTTGCGTAGAGAAAATAATCAGATTTTAAAATCTAATCAAGGTTAAATTCAATTGACAGTCTTTAAGTCTCCGCTTTGACTCTGGTTGAAAAGGACTAATAATGACTCTCTCTCTCTCCCTCTCTCTCTCCCTCCCAGTGTTTTATTCAATTTGAAATAGCTCCCAATCCTGACAGCTCTACATCATGTTAGTCCTTTTCATTTTTCTTAAGAACCTGCAGGTTTTTGTATGCAAAAATGAAAACCTTTATAAAAAAAAAAAAAAAAATGGCGGTCTGTGTTGGAATTACATAAAATTTTGTTAGCTGGGCACTCTTGTGATTTGATAGGTTTTGCATTGCAACTTCAACTCCATATGGAATTAGCAGCTCTCCTTTCAGTATGTGAAGGCTTCTCAGTTGAATTGAAATGGTTATCTTCAATTTATCTTGGAGATAGCAAAGAGTCACATTCTCAAATGTTAATATTTTTATCATGAATTTTTTTTTTTTTTCCTTTTCTTCATGCCTTGTTGTCAGAAATGGCTCATTTGGATTTGAACATCCGACAAATGGTTTATATGCAATGATGTATATTAAGCTGATAATTCTATTTATTTTATTATATGTCATTTATGTTCTTGATATAATGACATATGACTACAGGCTTGTGTACTGAAATCCTCTTCATAGTAATCTGTTTAAAGATAATTTTTGTTTCCATATTCTTCCAAAAGTTCTAATTCTATTTATTTCATCCTTCACCACCTTCATTACAAATCACTGTCATCTTGCATTTAATTTTAAAATTCTATAGTTTGGCACTGCCTAATGCTGATCAATATTGACTTCTTTTAAGACCCATGTCTTGGTGACATTTCTCAGTTAAGAGTTCACCTACCTGAAATTGAATTGTTTTATAGCCCCTGTCCAATATTCTAACCACTGAGCTATTTTCCTGGGTGATAGAAATGGGTGGAGAGGAAAAATCTTCAGGGCCAATTGCTTTAATTTTGCTAACATTGCCTTATAGTCTTAAATCTGACCAGACCCACACCCACTCAATAAAATCTAGATAATTGCAGGCTTGCTACTGTAAAAAATAAATAAAATTCCTTAACCTCAGAAAATGCAGAAATTTGAATTTCAGTCCACACTTGTCAGTAGTCACAACCTTCCCAACCCACCATCTTTCTTCCATTTCCCCTCCCCAACCTGGGTGGGATGTCTTTTTAGCTTCACCTGCTACGATGGCTTGCTGCACATTGCGAACAGTGACCGATCTGCATAAAAGAAAAGGTTAGGGTGAGTGGTAGCAGAAAGCAAGCAAGGAACACGTTCATCATCATCATCATCATCTGTTCTTTCATCATTCTTTGTTGTTTTATTCATTCTCATTTTCTGTGTTGCTGAGAAAAGGCAGTCTTCCACTCATGGTTTCTTTCTCTCTCTCTCTTATTGGTTCTCTCCCAACAGGCTGTCAGAGATGCTGACCGCTGCCAAAGAATGCAACCTCAAATGCAATGCCACCCTGACCTTCCCCACTTCCTGATTTCTGCCTCCCTAGTCTTAACAGCAACTGCATTTGTCTCTGCCTGATGTCCATTCTCTGATAAATCATAAACTTGTTATTTTTCCCTTCCTCTTGTCACCCCCCCACCAACTCCCCAATTTTTCTGCCCCCCCCCCCCTCCACTGTTTATCTCTCTTCCTTCTTTGCTTTCTCAGGTTTTTTTTTTTTTTTTTTTTTTTTTTTTTCACCTTTCTGAGATTATCGATGTAAAACGAGAAGTTTTGTTTGTTATATAAGCACACATACATGTAAAATGCTTTGTGCAAAAGAAAATGCCTGTTTGGAACAAAATAAATGTCCATTTCTAATCACAGAGTTTAATGTCATAATTTGTTTCAGACATAATTTTATTAGTCAAAGAATCTGCACTGTTGCAAATGACCTAGCAGTGAAATTTCTTCTGTCATGATAAAAACTGACCATGGGAGATGACAAAGTGCCAAAAATGCGTTTTTGGTCTTTTTTTCATGTTGGTGTGCACCTGCTGTAATGTACATTCCTTTAAAACCATTGTTTAAAGAAGCAGGATCTTAGTGGTTCACTGCATCAAGTTTTTTTTTTTTTTAGTTTTTTATTTCTTTCCCCCTAGGTGATTTGTGAAGTATAAGGTCTTGTCTTATCATTTCTTTAATCCACAACTGGCTAAAATATTTCCCACTTTTGATAAAGCAACAGGACTGTCTGTTATGATGGTCTAGGCTGGTTGCAATAAGCTGTAATGTCTTCATCCCTTACAGCAGCACTAAAATGATCAGAAGGAACTTTTTGAAGTGATTATTTGATTGCGGGGGTGGGTGAAAGAACAGGAAATTTGTCAACCCAAGGGAAACACATTTTCAATAGACATAACAAAACGACTTCAACAACGGTAAGCATCTGATCAAGAAAATAGTAATGTTTTTTATACAAACACGATATCAGAGCAAGTGTCAAACTGCAGAAAGTTGATTGTCAAATCATGAGATGCTAACTTTGCTTTGCCAATTTGAGCCAGATATCTTCCGACTGTTGTATGGGTCACCCCAACTTTGATCCTGGCACCCATGTGTTTGTCTGGATGAAATCTCTATGGCTACCATCAGTTCTTTGCTTTGTGATGACTTGCAGTCATAATCAGGTTCATCTTGAAAATTTAGATTACCGGCAGGAAATATTTAGAACCAATAGCACACAGTTCATTCTGAAGCTGACCCCATTCCCTAAGGACTTCTGATATTGCTGGCAATTTTGACATCACAGCAACTAAGTTTGAATTCAGGGAGCATAATGGTACAAAAATCACATTTATTCATCTTTGCTTTGATACCTTGCAAAGAAATTAGTTTGACGCAAAGCTTTAAAATAATATATAGATGTACACATATACTGAAGAGGAAACTGCCAATAGAAGAAAAAAAAAGTCACACTAATGCAACATTTTTATTTTCTTCCAGCCTAATAATTTTTCTTGTCTCTCAAATGTCTTAGTTGTTGTTTCCAATCTTTGCAATGAAACGCACACATTCTCCCGCTAACCATCCACATCTATTTTTCCCTCCTAATTGTGATGGCTTTGCTTTCTTCAAAGCAGGTCCCCCTCTTTCTTGATACCAATGCACATACACAGATTTGTGTCTATCCATCCTCTAAAAAAGTAAGTGAATTAGCAGAATGAACAATTGTTAAGTCAATCATTGGCTGGGTTTGTGAATGGAGGTGAGATTAAGTTAAGGTTGGGTGCTAAAGACAATATTAGTCTATTGGACACAGAAACTATACAATACAACTCTAATAGTCTTCCAAATTATATGCTATATTCATAAGTAATACTATGTAATCATGGATATATTATATTGTCTTCAAAGAGTGTGAATAACACATTCTGAGATGTGCAGATATATAACTTGAAGAAGGTCTTCCACTCCCACAAGTGTTCAATTTGCTGTCACAAAATGAAACCAAAGAAATAGATTCTATCATTTGTGCTCTCTCTCCACTCTCCTCCTCCCCTCTCCATTCCCTCTTCTCCTCTCCCTCCCCTCTTCTCCTCTCCCTCCCTTCTCTTCTCCCTCTCCCCTTCTTCTCTCTCCCCCTTCTCTCTCTTCCCCCCTTCTCTCTCTTCCCCCCTTCTCTCTCTTCCCCCTTCTCTCTTCCCCCCTTCTCTCTTCCCCCCCTCCTCTCTCTTCCCCCTCCTCTCTCTTCCCCCCTCCTCTCCCCTCCTCTCCTCCTCTCCCTCCTCCTCCTCTCCTCCTCTCCTCTTCTCCTCTTCTCCTCTTCTCCTCTCCTCTTCTCCTCCTCTCCCTCCTCCTCTCCTCTTCTCCTCTCCTCCCCTCTTCTCTCCCATCTCTCTCCAATATTTATTATTACTCTTCCTCTTTCTTTGTTCTATTGTATCTTCTTTACCATCTTACCCACCTCATTTCAATCAATAATACCCTCTCTCAAAAAAGAAATTGTGTCAGTAGGTCTAGAACAAATGCTAGATTAGCAATACTCTGTCCTTCTCTTCCTCCCTATCTCTCCCCAGGTACAATTCTAATTATACAACTTTGGTCCACAATTGTTCCATTTAAAGAAAAAAGAAAAATTGTATAATTTTGTTGGGCACTGATATAATTTCTTTTTCTTCATCTTTTGAAATTTTAGCAATTTCATCAAACTTTCTTCATTGTTGTATTTCAGTTTCCATTTATAACTGCAACTATCCATCATCATCATCATCCTTTCCCCACCCAGGAAAGCCAGACCAATTCTAATATTGTTCATTGCACTACCAGCCAAAGTGCATTCTTATTTTCAGATTCATGAAAGGCTATAAAAGGACAGTCTTAACTCTGAACATTATTTGCTCGTCAACATAATACGTGGCTGTACAGAACTTGTGCAAGTGTTAATCAGCCAGAAACTATTTTGCTAAAAAAAAACTTTTTTTTTTCTTTTCTTTTTTTTTTTTTTTCCTATACCCAGTACGTTTTGGTTGGATATTCTTAGAAAGTAAAATTGTGTACACAACTTCTACCACCCATCCCACGCACTTGATGAATTTAATATTTTACTGGTTTAAGCAAAAATTAACTGCTGAGTTCTTACTACTTTTGTGTGTGTGCTTATTCTCCATCTTTCTCTTACTCATTTGAAACCTTCATTCATTCACTCTTTAATTTATATGTAATTAAATTTTAATACGTTTTTCCAGAAGCAAATTGCCTTCTAATTTTTAGTTAATAAACTCCTAGTATTAAAATATTGTCTCACTTTTCTTTTTCACTCTTCAATTATTTCTTCTTTTACATCCAACTCATTTGATTTGTGCCTCTCTCTCCATTCTCTCTCTTTCTCTCTCCATTTTCTCTCTTTCTCTCTCCATTCTCTCTCTTTCTCTCTCCATTCTCTCCTCTCAAAGCTGAAAATGAACCAAGTCCGTTTTACTGCTGCCTCCTCCACTGCATAGTAGAAGCAGGACAGATGTCCTGAGCAAACGCATTTTAGGAGATTACTGACCAGCCAAATTAGAGATTGCAGTACGGACAAATTGCTAAATGATTGATATATGGATTTTTATTTATTTATTTTTTTTATTTTTCCCTTTTTAATTTCTTATTTTGTTCTTTTTGTCTACGCAGCAAAAATGCCTTTAATTACAAACCAGTACAACTATTTGTGCTTGATTGTAGCATTTTCTTTTACTTTCTTTTACTTTCTTGGTTTTGATGTTTTACTAATCTTCTTGATTAGCTTTTATTAGCCTGAAATGGAATAGTGTCTTTACAATTTCTCTTGCACTTGGAATATTTTGTATTCTTCAAGAAGTAAAATTATTCTCAGACATCAGAATATATATTTTGGCTTTTGAGAATTTTTTTTTTTTTTGTTCAAGATTTGGTTTATATATTTTCCAAAAAGTTTTGTTTCTATCGATGGAAAACTATAAATTGTTTTACATAAATTCTTACAAGTTTGCAGAAATTCTTCCTGATTAACAAGAGGAAAACTTTTTGAAAATTCAATTTATTTTTTATTTCAAAACCAATTTGATTCTAGAAAACGATGTTCACACAAAATTACTTTAATATTCAGCTTGAGGAAATTCAGATTGTAGTCACATTTCTCTATTTGCTAGAGTAATAAGATCTATGCTGTCATATTTTTTTACCCCATCATGAGTTCCTTACACTTATTGAGGTACCTCATATATTATAGCCTTTGCGTGCATTGGGTCTGTCTAGAGCAAGACATGACGGTCCATCCCTCTTGAGGCTGATTTTTGAATTCAGTTGTCCTCTACCTGAAGTGTTTGCCAACTAAAGCTAAGCACAGCCTGCCCTGCTATTTAACCCATTAGGAAAAGAACAGCCTAAAACACAATTTGAACTCAACATGTTGATCCCACATCCTGCACAGATATCTGCTATGCTAATATGTTCCAACCTATATAATTTTTAAAATATTAATGATATAAATTTATATAGAAACTTTTTCTTTGTTCCTTTCTCTCCTTTGTTGTTCCTTTCTCTTCTTACAGTAAATTTAGTCTCATGAAATGAAGGATGTTCTGAAAAGCAAATAAACAAGTGTGATTGATTTTGTTAGTATTGTGACATCTATTCACATCCTTTACAGACACTGAACATTTTTCTTTGAAATTGTGAAAGTAATATCAGTTTTTGTTTTAAATTTGATAAGCAATTTATTTGTTATATTAAACTTATGAATGATTTCTTCTATGTATAATGATTTTAAATCATCAGAAAGTGGTGAAAGGAGAGATCTCTGCTTGGGGTTCACTGATGAATGACAAAAATTTTCTATTGTATTGTTTCTTTTTTTTATATATATATATATATATATATATATATATATATAATGTTTTGTTTTGTTTTGTTTCTAGGCAGCTGAACCATAATGAAATTTCCTGGGCTGTTGAAGACATGGATGGAGCTTTTTCTGGCCTGGACCGTTTAGTTCGACTTGGTTTGAATGGGAACAGATTTAAATCAGTTGCCAAACAAGCATTTAGCGGCCTTCATAATCTGAAGTATCTGTCCTTGCTGGATAATAGCATTGCCTCCATCCTAGAGAATGCCTTTAAACCATTACAATTTTTGCAAGATTTGTAAGTTACTTTCTCACCCTCCTTCTCACTCTCACCCTCACTCTCTACCCTCCTTCTCACTCTCTACCTCCTTCCTACCAATTGAATTCATTATTGTCGAATTTTATATGCAACACTTAATTGCATGGTTCTTATGGCTTTGACAACAATTCTGCCACCAAACATCTATTTTTTTTTGCAGATCATTTTTCTCTTGCATCATGATTATTATTGATATTTGTTAAGTGTGGCACAAGACCAATTGAGAGATAAAATGATAGTAGACTCTAGTGTAATAATTTTGCAATAGAGGGTAAACCAGTCTTCCATGGAGGGTGTTTGATCAACATTTGTAATCCTTGCTCCTTCCAGACCTTTGACCTTTAGTCAATAATGTTGATAATACACATGTAAGCAAGTCACAATTACAGTTGGTATTAGTGTTTCAGTTTTAGACTAAAAAAATTTCCAGCATTCTCTGTTAGGCATTGCATCAGGTTTTATGAAAAAGCCTTGAGTAAACAAAACAGGAACAGTTCTTCTCACAATCTTCTTTTGAGACTTGCAAATAAACTTGGCCTTATTGTTAAAGCTTTAAAAACAAACGTCAAACCAAGTGACAGGGCTTCACGTGTATCGTACAATGGAAAATGTGTCGAAAAAGAAAATTACTTACCCAAAAAAAAGGGCATGTATTCTGCATGACATGCTGAAGATGGCATATTTAAATTAAAAAACAAGTCCGTCACAGGAGTCGCCATAAAAGTATTTTGATATGCAAAAATTGAGCGTCCTCTCCCGGCTGTCGACGAATGGAAAAAATGCTCGGCCGATAAAAGCAGTTGATGTTCTCGAATCAGGGAGAAAAATTCGGGTATTATGGCTACCACGTTTGAGTTATTTTTCTGACTGGTTGCGTGCATTGTGAGATAGTACCTGCGAATCGAGTTTTCGGCATTTCTTTCTGCCCCCGATGTTCGAGTCTGAACTTAGTCATTTATTCTCTGCTTTGTGGAAGTAATCTGTGACAAATATTTCCTTTGCAATCCCAGATCGCTTACAAGTACATATAAATATATACAACAATATAAAACAAAGTGGTGGAAATGCAAAGATAATGGAGAGGATGACTCACCATAATGTGGTGAATTAAAAAAAAAAAAAAAAAAGACAAAAACGGGGTATCCAGTTATCTATCTTCAGAGCCAATTGGGGATAAAAACATGCACAATTACTAAAAAAGCAAGAGAGAAAGAAAAAATTACTATCAAGGTATCAGCAGTATAAATCAGATTAATTACATTTATATTCAGCAGCCATTCCTTCTGCTTGTAGAGAGGAGGCTGCTTAGACTTAATATAAATTGTCTCAAGATTTCTCAGATGGCAATCTGAATGCACTTTACTGATTATGCTGGAGAAAGTGGAGATGCAGAATGGATTATTTATTATTCAGCAATAGCAGAACTAGAACTATTCACAAGCATATGCAAATTTTCACGCTGTCCTTGATGGATCTTAGCTGATACATGTTGATCAATCCTAAGTGTCCAGCCTCTGATTAGTTCTGCCAATATATTCAGCATCACACTGGCAGTTGTAATTATAGATAACTGACCTAACGTGATGTGGGATGGAGCAGAATATCTTTGCAGGTGGATTTCTGCATAGGTAGAGGGGGGGGTGAAAACAATGTGGACTGGATCTGTTAAATTTTCTTAATTTAAGTAACCACAGCCTGATCATGAAAAAGAAATCCTCCTTTTTAAATTAGAAATGTGAATTTATTTGTCAAAACCTTTTTAAATGAGGATAATTTCATGAGGCAATTATCTACTCCAACATAGTAACAACAAAAAATTGTTTCACAACTGCGTTTTAATAAGTTTAGTATTGATAGGTGCAACGTGTATGTATTTAGTTACTGATTCTTCACCTGAAAATGTTCTTTATATTTCCAGAAAATTCAACAGCAGTAATTTACTCTGTGACTGTCAATTAGCATGGTTTCCAAAGTGGCTCTTCCATAAAGATTTCCGTAACTCTGTGACGGCAGTCTGTGCCCATCCCCAGAGCTCCAAAGGAAAAAGTATTTTTACAGTCAAACCTGAAGACTTTGCTTGCAGTACGTACATTTTTTTGAATCCTCAACTTTGGTTGGATCTTAGACCTCGGACCTTTTTTATGTAATGTTTGAATTTTTGTAATCACCTTGCCTAAAAATATCTTCCAAGGAATTTTTTTTTTCTTTTTTTTTTTTAATGTCTTGTCCATTCAGGGTGCAGGCAATCAAGATTCCATGCAGATTTTTTTTTCTTAACTATCTATGAATTGCTATGACATCTTGGGAAAGTGAGTGGAATGGTGTGCCATTATCTTCTCCATGATTTTGAATTTAGAGATGACTCTCCACAGATTCCCTTCTTTATGAATTTCCATGTGTCTTCAGATATATAGTGAAGCTGTTTTTTGCAACCAATAAGAAATACATTAATAAATCAGTCATCAAGCTGGTCAGAACTCTTATGAGAAATTTTTAAAACTGCTGCCCCTGTGACATGAGAATTTTGAAGAAATGGGCAGAAAATAAATGACTCTCTAAATCTGTGCACCTTTTTATTTTTAAAACCAGAAAGCAATTTGACATAAGTTTAGTGGTTTGTTAGCATATGTATATAGTAATTTTCTTTTTCGAAGCGTAGCTTAGATGTGTGCACAAGGCCAAAAGAAAGGAGCGCCCAATGAGGATCGAACTCGCTACTCAGTCGTAATTGTTCTAGTGAGACAAGCTTGCTAACCATTACACCGCCTCGAGGTGGCCTAAGCATGTCTAAATAGATGAGGAACAATATGTGGTATTGTGGCCTGCAAGGTACTAACCATGAAACATAATGTTGGAAAGGGAGAGCAAATGAGATAAAGAAATTGGAAAACATCTGTTTAAATGCAGTAGAAAGTCCTTTAAATCCTCCCTTTTGATTTGAGAAAGGTGAGATGTGTTTTTGTTTGTTGTTAGGTCCCTCCCCTTCCTCCACCTCAACATTTGCAATAGGCATAATGTAGGATGTATTTGGATTTCAAGATCTTGGTGCAGTGGTGATAAGATTTTTATATATATATATATATATATATATATATATATATATATATAGTGATTTTCCAAGCATAGCTTAGATATGGCACAAGGGCGAAAGTAATGTCTGTTAACCCCCTCCAAGAAGACTTTTTTTGTTCAAAATTAAAATATCTAATGTGTAGATATTGCTTTGTTTCAAATATTCTCAACTTTTAAGATGTCAATAAATTTGGACACTCTGTACCTGGTTGTGTTAAAAAGAAGAAAAAAAAATGTTGGAAAGGAATTTAATGCAGGGAGGGGTTAGGAATGTCAGCCTTCTTGACCACGCTCCTCCACCAACACATACATATATTCACAATTTCTTTAAATTGTTATCTTGAATAATTTTATTTACGGAATTTTTCATAAATAGTGAGGCATTGTCAGTGCGAAATGTAGACAGTTCAGAGGTCGGTGTTGACCCTCTTTTAAAGAATGTCTTCTGTTTGACTGGACCAAAGCCGAAAGAAACCAACCCCCCCTCCCCAGGAATAGGTGTGGTGGGGAGCATTCCATGTACATAAATAATCACTTCTACACACACTTCCATATTCATACATCTCCCTGTCCTGCTTGGGTATATTTGCAGTCCTGTAAGCATATTCATTACTTATGTCTTTGTGTGCATAGACATAGGTAATCTCAGTGACACGTTTCTTGATCATTTAAGCAAATGTAGTGATGATACCAAGACAAGACTGTTACTCGCAAGGTTTGTACTTCTTTCCCAGTTTCTAAGTTAGTAGAATTTGTTTTTTTGCTCAGCGATTTCAAACCAAGCTAGTGAACTTTTTATCTATTTTGTCAGTCATTACCAAATCCTTAGCCATCCTGGGTATGATGATAAACTACATCCAACTAATTAACAGCAATACATTTTTGTAAAAGAAATTACTAATTTAAATTTCGGTATTAAATGACTCATAAGGAGTTGATATGCCGCTAAAAAATACGACATTTTCAGTATTGTACTTTCTAGTTTTTGTTCTACTTAACTTTTTGAGTATTGTCAAATGGAACTCTTTACTACGCTCACAGGTGTATGTCATTCTCCCTTCTTGGATAATGTAATGGGCCTATGCCCAAGTTACTAGAACATTAATCATCTAACCATTAGACCCAGGTTCAAATCTTAACTAGTCACTTTATCAAGATGACATTTTGATATATCAGCCTGGAGAGACAATCCCAGCATGCAGTATTGTCGGGAAGTACCTGAAAAACATACAATGGGTGCTCTGAATCCTTGGAAGTGAAATTGGGTAGACAGGATTGTTTTGGGATCCATCAATGGTTATGCCAGCACAAAGTAACAAGTCATTGTGGCCAAGAGCTTAAAGTTAATTTCTAGAAGAAATTTTCTTGTCACTGTAATGTAGCTTCCTTGTGCCATTTCTATAAATATTTTCATGGTTTTCCTCTTTGATATATTGTCTTTATGAATTTAATGAAGTTCAGGAAAGTCTCATCATTTTACAGTTGAAATAGCTAGATGTAACCGTAAGTTCTATGCTAACCATTCCTTCTCTCCCTTCTCACTTGTGGAACTTTCTTTTGTCTTCATAATTTCTGTTCTTTTATTGTTCTCTCTCATTAAGTGTTTTTTTTTTTTTTTTGTGGGGGGGTTTTTTTTTTGTTTTTTTTTTTTTATACCGTATTCTCTAACCCCTTGCATCTTAGTGGTTTTATTGCCTTGCTTGCGGTGAAATAATTTTTTTTTAAAAAAAGTAGATTAGAAAAATATTTTCCTGCAAAAAGTGCACTTGTTCTCTAAACTGAATCTTTGTCAACATTCCGATTGAAATTTTGCCGAATCAGTCGAGTTGATTAACAAGAGTGCTATGATTAAAATGCCAAGTTGTTTATTGAATTGAATTTTTAAAGAATAGAATTTTACTCTATAATTTTTTTTTTTTTTTTCCAGCTGACTTTCCAAAGCCTGTGATCACCAGCCAGCCTATGTCTCAGAAAGCACTTAAGGGGGAGAATTTAACTCTCAATTGCAGTGCTGTCAGCAGCGGATTCTTTGATACCAAATTCCAGTGGAAAAAAGATAGCATGGTAAGATCTTTACCTGATAGTCTTTCTAAATGCAGTTTTTATATCAGTGTCAAAGAATTTGCTTCAATCATTAACAGGAAAAAAAAAAAAAAAAACAAGCAAAAAAACAAAACAAAACAAAAACAATGAAATTCCTGTTAAACAAGATATTTACCTTATCTACTTGTTGCTTCATTTAGTATTAATTACTGTAATCTTGTAAGGATTGTTGCCAAATTTAAACAGATATTTTCCTAAAAACCAGTCAACTCCTAAATTCCATCAGTTGCTTTAAAATGCCATTCAACTGATGTGTTGTCTTTTGCCCTTCTCTCCAGATTCTTACTGATCCAAAGATGGACAACTTCACTTCAGTGGAAGGAAAACTGATTCGCCTGACAAGCCTACTTCATTTGGAGAATGTCCAAGACGAGACAGCTGGAAAATACCAATGCATTATCTCCAACCATTTTGGTTCTGCTTACTCCCAGAAGGCTAACATCACTGTCCGTGGTCAGTATCAATTCTGTTAAAAATGTACAATGAATAGACCCCTTTGAAAAAAAAAAAAAAAAACCCTCTGACCCAATGATATAGTTATATCAACAGAAGTATTTAAGTGTTGTAAATCAATATGATTTTATTTAATTAACTATTTAATTTCAAATAAGGCTAATGACTTTTTTGGTTAAACTTGAAGATTTTGCCTTAGTTTTTGTTATATAGGACTTTAATATGATGGCTTGTTCTAGGGATTGACCTTTGAGGTTTGATTTTAGCATTTATGGAAACAAACATGTGGATGTCTGTTCCACGAAGTGGCAGTTCTTGGTGAGGGTTGGGGCAGGGGTCTGTCTAAGCAGAGCTTCCTCCTTACATATGTAATACAGATAAAATGAGGATAATTAGTCAATGTAAGTAATCCAACATGTCCTAGCATTAAAGGTTTGAATTCATGGAGCAAAAGACTGGAGCTTATCTGAATATTTGACATGGAAATAGCAAGAGAGATCTGTACCAAGGTGTTTACCCTTTTCAAAAGAAGAAATATGCCCATATTTAACATGCCTACCTTTTTAAAAAAAAAAAAAAAAGCTTATCTATGTATGATTCGCCACTCTGCCTAGGGTCAGTGTAATATCTGCATACTCTCATGCAGAATTGGGGGGAAATAAATGGAAAAAAGGCAACTTGAAGAGATGAAACCAGATTAAAATCTCACCATGGTTAATTTGTCAGGAAAATGACTTCCTGATCATTTCATCTAGAGAGGTGGGTATGATGATAAACTGCATCTGGCAGCAAGACCTCTGTTCAGGAGGTTTTGAGTAGTGTGGAACCATCTCTTAATTGCTGTTGCTGACCCAGGGTGGTAGCACCTGTCGAGGTCCCAGTTATGTGCAAATAGTTAATCCCCCAAACTGGGGTCAAAACACTATGAAAGTATAAGAATAGATTTTTATAGTTAAAATACTAGCAATACATTTTTGAAAACAAAAAATATTACCAGCAATACATTTGACTCTCGGCAAAAAACCTCTTTACAAAAATGCATCAATGAAATCTGACCTACGAACTAATTTCTTACAAAGAATACGTATTCTATTATACAAATCTATCCTAAAAATCTTGTTGGCATTAAATAGCCCATTGCTGTTGATATGCCATAAAAAAAAACAAAATAAACCATATCATCCAGAGAGGATGGTCTCAGTGTGTCTGTTAGAAAGAGAGGACAATCCTTTTCATTAGACACTTATGTGTAGTTAATTTTCAAAAAGTCATATGTAATAATGTAAGTAGGATTTATTTCTTTTCTTCCATTATCTCTTGTCTGGAACGTTAAAGAAAATGTTCCTATTAATGGTTCTTTTATTTCTAAATCACTTTCTACTTGTCACAGTTTCCTGACTTCTTTCATCTTGTAAATTAGAGTTCCATATAAAAAGTTGAAGAATATTTATTATTACTATTATTGTTATTTGTTTTTGTTTTTTTTATTATCATCCAGTTTATCCTTTGTTCACCAAGAAACCAGGAGATGTGACTGTGAAATCAGGAAGCACAGCACGGTTGGAGTGTGCAGCCTGGGGTCAACCACAGCCCCAGATATCTTGGCAAAAAGATGGAGGCAATGACTTTCCCGCTGCTCGTGAGAGGCGTATGCATGTCATGCCAACTGATGATGTCTTTTTTATTGTCAATGTGAAGAGCTCTGATGAAGGTACCTACAGTTGCACTGCCACCAACGAGGCCGGTACTGCTGCAACAAATGCAACTCTTAAAGTTCTAGGTAAGTGATCAGCAATTTTCGATTAGGCTGTGTTTGGAACTTACAATTCAGTTGTTATAAGTTTTTTTGTTTTTTAAGTTGCAATTGGGGTGGGTATAAGATTTGAGATTAGTTAAATACTGATATCAACCTCTATCATAAACCACTGGCATATTTGACATTCATCAGGTCTGAGAAACTTTGGCATGTTATGTAATTGTTTTTTGTTTACCCATTAATATGCACTTTCCCATTTTTGAGACACTGAGTATTAATAAATAGAAAGCTATAACTAATACTGTATCATCTCTGGACACTTGAGACTGGTGCCAAGTTATCTCTAGACACTTGTGAGTGGAGTGTTGCTGGATTTTTATTTCAATTTTTATAATTAATACTGGATTTTATGGCGACATTAGTAGATTAATATAAATTATTTTCAAAAAATTTCTTCCTGCATTTTACAAGTCCGAAGGAGACAGCTTTGATATTGTCATAATCCCATATCAAGGCGATACCTATAATATAGGTATCACCTTGTCCAGTATCGGTTTTATCTTCAATCGATAGTTCGATGGAAAGTCTGTCCTTTCCACTGTAGTTCAAAGCATTACCTGAGAATATTCTCTTAACTCTTACAGAAACCCCATCATTTACAAGGGCCATGATATCTGAGAAATTGGTTCGACTGGGAGAGACTACAGTTCTTGAGTGCATGGCATCTGGCAGCCCCAAACCCAAGCTAACTTGGCTCAAGGATAACCTCATATTAAAGCCATCCCGAAGACACTACTTCACTGCAAGTGACCAACTGCTGGTCATTGTGGATACTGTCGCCTCTGATGCTGGCATTTATACTTGTGAACTGACCAACACTTTGGGCATGGAGCGAGGTACTACAAAATTGGTAATAACATCAGCACCAGGTGGAGATCCAGAATCTTACAGCAGTTCTGGACTGGACAATTCTAGTACAACAACAGGCATTATTATCATCGCTGTAGTGTGTTGTGTTGTTGGTACATCACTAGTTTGGGTGATTATAATTTATCAGACAAGAAAACGGCCAGAAGAATACAGTGCCACACCCACAGGTATTTTTTGTTTTTCTTATCCTTTGATTCTGCACATTGTTTGGAGGGGGTTCTTGTGTTGTATCTTTTGGCCTTCCTAGTGTCATTGTTCATATTCCAACAGTTGTCTGGGCAACTTTTAGCCGATGTGTTCTTGAACCTTCCTCAGGTGTATTATTTGTCAAGTAGATGTTTCCAACAACATCACCTCCTTTTAGATGTTTCTATATTTGGATCTCGGATCTTATTTCAGGCTGCATTAATCAATAGGATTGATGATATTCTGTGTAGAGATTAACACATTTCCTCTTGAACAGCTTCTTCCCATAAACCACTACTCTGTGGAACCAATCCCCAAGAGGATGTTTCCCCAATCACTACAATCTTAACCTTTTCAAGTCTAGGGTTAACCATTATCTTCCCCTCCTATCTGTACAAACTGACTCCTAACATAACTGTCTACCTCAAGTGTACCCACACCCCGGGCTTTGTACAGGGTGAACCCTATGTTTTAAAAAAAAAAAAAAAAAAGATTTCCTTTGACATCTTATTTTGCTAAATATTTTTTAAGTGTTAAATCCATACCGTTAAAAGACCACAATCTGGCTCATCTACCAAGATGACACCTTTTATATTTTGTGTGACTAATGAACACTGTCAGTTGAAATATACACAGTCCTCTATGGAAAGAAAAAATACAACAGGCTTGCTTGCATGTGTTGGCATTACAAAAATACAGTGCTCAATGTTTTTATATATATATATATATATATATATATATATATATATATATATATATATATATATATATATATATATATATATAAAGTGGACATTGAAGTCAACACCCAGAGGCAACAATCTGTTTTATGCTAAACAATCGTCATGGCCTGAAACAGGCTATCTCCTCTGCCCTCTGGATGTTGACTTCAATGTCAACTTTATATTTACATATATTAAATATAGCATACCTTATAACTATATTTTTATCACACATATATATATATATATATATATATATATATATATATATATATATATATATATACACCCATAGAAAAATACAATATATAGAACAATTATCCTTAAATTTTGCTATTTTACTGTGACTTATGTATTTTATATTTACATAGAAAGCAAGAATTTTTCACTTTTTTTTTTTTTTTTTTATCTGCGTAAATTAAGGGATAGTTTGACTTCACCATTTCTCTGAACATCAATTGATCAAAAATGTTGTGCCTCTTAATCTGCAATCATCTACACCGAGTGGCTCTTGGACCTTATTCAGGGTGAATAGCTTTATAAAAAATAATAATTCTAAGGAACAACCAACCAACTCTTTAAAAAAGAAAAAAGAAAAATAAATCAGGACCTACAAATAAAATATACTCAGCAGATTCTGGTTGTTATAAAATCACAATGAACCTATCTTGTATAAAATGGTTGACTAATAAATCACAAACTCCACCCAAAGGTCATAACTTTTATGGTAAATATGACCCAAAATTGTATGTCAATTATTCTTGAAGAATACCGAGAAATCATCTTCTACACAATGCAATAAGGTTGACTCTAAGCTTGAACGTATTTAGAAAGAAGGATAATGATACGATAAACAATGACGGCAATGTTAACCTATAGCGAAAGGAAACCACTTAAATGAGTCTTGACAAAAAAATGGTTGAATAAAGTAGTCATCAGCATAGAAGTGGATACTATGTTCACTGAAACAATAACGGGTGCACCTCAAGGTGGTGTAATGGTTAGCAAGCTTGTCTAGCTAGAACAATTACGACCGAGTAGTGAGTTCAATTCTCACTGGGTTCTCCCCTAATTTCGGCCTTGTGCCACATCTAAACTATGCTTGGTAAATCACTATGTTCACTGAAACAATAACAATTATAGGACACATCGTCCGTCCTTTAAAAGGGTATCACCATTGTCACATACTGAGAAGATATGACTCTTGAATTAGTATAATCAGCATGGATGTTACCACCAAACTCAAAATCTATGAGGAAGTGGTTTTCAACCTGTAGAAGATCAAAGAATATATTGGCTGAAATAGTCATTTAAGAAAAAGAAAATGAAAAACAGCAAGAATGGTATTCAGAGGCTCAATATTTGGAAATACACAGGCTCTGTTTTTAGTCTGCATACATGTAAAATCTTATATATATATATATATATATATATATATATATATATATATATATATATATATAAATAAAAAGGCTTAAACACTAATATTCCATGGTCATAATTTATTCCATTGGAATCGTAAATTTTTGCAGGTCTGATGAATTGGATCGTATTTACGATTCCAATGGAATAAATTATGACCATGGAATATTAGTGTTTAAGCCTTTTATTATATCCTTACTCTGTCCTAGACATTGAGTTTTACCTGGATTCTATCCTCTTGGAATTTTTATTCAAAAAATATACATGTATGTATATATATATTGTATATGTATGTGTGTATTTACCACTAATATATATATATATATATATATATATATATATATATATATATATTACCACTAATATATATATATATATATATATATATATATATATGAAATGGACAAGTCTGACAATTATTTTAATATATAAATGCTCTGTTTATAATAAGCAGTATTAACCACATTTACCAGCCTGAATGTCCCAAAAATTTCATTGGAAATATGTCATCTAACAGGAATCGAACATATGTCCTATACAGAACCATCATATAGCCTGACATGCTATACTATTTAGCTACAGAGGAAGCGTAATTTGACTTTGCTAACCAGACACTTCCTCTGTAAGGCAGACTGAAGAAAGATTACGACACACTTATCTGCATGGCCACATGCAATTAAAAGCTTAGGCCTACTATCACACCTTTTGTCAACTGCTCACAAACTCTGATAGGACTCTGAACCGACCCCTTCCCCTCTCTCTTTTTCTCTCTCTGCCCCCCCCCCCAACATTGAGTCGATTTAAAAAGCAGCAAATCTGATTAGGGGTGACAACAACAATCACATTCCAGATTACGCACACACCCTCAACCTTTTTAAAACCATTTTCTATCATCTTTGTAATGTCTTGGATTGCATTCCATTTCACCGGATTTTTTTTTTTTTTTTTCTTTTTCACCTTTATTCTCCCCACCCCCACTTCCTCTTCAACACTTTGGCCTTGGGCATTTACACCTGATGCTATTTACTAACAATTGCACAAATATCCACACACCTGTGTGTATGTGAGCACACATTCACACACACACACATACACACAACTGTATTGACTCTGTTCTTAAATACATATAATGCTTGAAATGCTCAAATTTCTGCATAAATGGCATCCTTGAGTTGCTGATTTTTTTTATACATACACGCACCTTAATGTATCGCCCCTCCCTAATAAAATAATCAGGAGAACTTAATGGTCATAAAATTTTAGGATTTTACAAACTGTCAAATACGTAAAAGTTTGATGAAATGCAAAATAAAATACACAACTTTTCTTCTTGGTTCAGTTATGAATTCTTCCATGAGTGATTTCCCTCTGTTAATTCAAGTTCCAAAAAAAAAAAAGAAATCAAAGAAAACATGTACTTTGACATTTTGAAATTCCTTGGTGACTATTGGGACATCCAATATGTATATGTGTGTGTGTGTGTGTGTGTGTCTAATAAAATACAATATATATATATATATATATATATATATATACACACACACACACACACACACACACACACACACACACACACAAGTGTGTTTATTGGACAACTTATATTATATAATATATTATGAAATTTTGTCTTACTACTTAATCACAAAATGCCATTTCATGTGGCTCTTTCAATCATTCCTGATCAGTAAAAATCCACATTTGCCCTCTCTTGGAAGACATGATTGAGAATTTAGAGACAGATCAAAATAGACACTTCCCTTGGTCTCTCTCTCTTCCACTCTCTCTTTTCTGTTCTGCATAAAAAAGTTAATTTATTTTTTATTGCTGAGGGTTGTGTATCATGGACAAACTTTTGAATTTGAAGTTGTCCTAGATTGATTGCCAACCAAGACTAATTGCTTTGCAATTTAACCCATAGCTGGGAGATGAATGCATATGTTTCTAAGGGTATTTGCACATATATGAATGCAAAGAACTTTACTGGATTTCGGACTTGGCTCTCAGATTTCTTCTTCTGAGCTGCTATCCATTACACACCAGCCACACACACATTTTGGTCGATGCTTCTCATCAGGAAGCCATAAACCCCAGTATATCTCACTATATCATTTTTCATATGCTGCATAATGTGGTGATGCCTATATAGATATTTACTATACTCAACTTTGATAATCTTTATTTGGCTTGAAGATTATCTTGCATCAGTTTTCTAAGAGGTAAGGCCCACTGTTTATTTGAAAAATCGTCACTTAAAATCCTCATCTTGAACATACTAAGCCCAACATGTCTGTGTGTATATTTAATGGTATTTAGACTTAGCAGGAGTTAGATTCTAAAATATTTTTGTCAATAATTCATTGCATGAATCAAATTAGCTCATATCAATTTTGCTTCTCTCTCTCTTTTTCTCGTCCACCTCTCTCTTTTTCTCGTCCACCTCTCTCTTTTTCTCGTCCACCTCTCTCTTTCTCTCGTCCACCTCTCTCTTTCTCTCGTCCACCTCTCTCCACCTTGTTTTTCTTAAGTGTATCCTCTGTTTTCTTTCCACTGATTATTTGGATAGAGAACGTAAAAACCTTAATGAAGATCTCTCCCGCTCTTTCTCTCTCTGCCTCTTGGATTCTATCTCAGCCTCAAATAGTGGCTATTGGTCGTTTTCTCTTGCCTGAGATTGACTTGCAATTTGTTCACTCAGCTGCAATTATTGGGTTATTGGTGGCTGAGGGAAGAGCAAGTCTCAACTGTTAAGTGTATTTTGATTGCTATCAATTTTCAACATTCATTTTCTCACATTAGTATTGGGGAGGGGGTAGACTCCCTCCACCACCTTCCCTTTCTCTGTTCTAATTTTTTACCGATAGATTGCAAGTGTCAGGTGGGTGGAGATGGTAAGGTGTGACAGCATAGATTGGTTGTCTTACATTCTGCTGCCAGAATGACAAATGTGAGTTTGATTTTAGCCAAAAAAAGATGTAATCAGGCTTACACACACACACACACGTGCGTGCGTGTGTGTGTGTGTGTGAGAGAGTGTGTGTGTGTGTATATATATATATATATATATATATATATATATATATATATATATAATATTTGCCCTACACAAGTATGTATATAGCCTCTTCTCTCAAGTATGTATTGTTACGTTTCTTCAGCTTTATAAAATTCAAATGAATACAGAAACAGAAAACAACAATAAAATAATGAAATCATCCAATATCAGTATTTTCAATTTACAAATTTTGTTACACATTACTGTAGTAGGTACAAGGGGTAAAATGCACATGTACACACTAGCTTAAATATGTGTATTTCTTTGGCCACTGTCAAAGTTGTCAGTGGGTGTAATTGGTTCTTGCTGCTACTGTTCTGGAAAAGCAGTAAGCAAAATGTTAAACTCTCTGTCAATTGTTGA